CCCCTCATCCAGGCTGGCCAGGCACCCCAGTGGGGACCCCCACCCTAATCCAGGACACCCTTTAGGGCAAAACAGCCAGCCCCCACCCATGCACCAGGCCTCTATTCTATATAGTAAAAGGGTAATATGCCTCCCAGCACCAGGATCAGTGGAGCCGCGAGGCCTCCAGGCACCGGGATCAGCGTGACTGGGGGCAGCTCCCAAACCCCTGATCGCCCTGCGGCTCTGTGTATGACGGGGGCGAAGCCACAACCTCCCTATCGGCCCTGCTCTGTTCCTGACAGGGGAAGGCACCCCAACCCCCTGATCGGCCCTGCTCTGTGCCTGATGGGGGGAGCTCCCCAACCCCAGATCGCCCTGCGGCTCTGTGTGTGACAGGGTGCGGCGCCCCAACCCCCCCCCCCACCCCACAGGCCCTGCTCTGTGTGTGATGGGGTAGAGCCATAACCTCCCCATCGGCCCTGCCCTGAGTGTGACAGTGGCGGCGCCCCAACCGCCTGAACGGCCCTGCTCTGAGTGTGACTGAGGGTGGCATCGCAACCCCCTGATCCGCCCTGCTCTGTGCGTGACAGGGGGCGGTGCCCCAACCCCCCAATCGGCCCTACTCTGAGCCCAACCAGGGGCTGCACCTAGGGATTGGGTCTGCCCTCTGCCACCCGGGAGCAGGCCTAAGCCAGCAGGTCGTTATCTCCCAAGGGGTCCCAGACTGTGAGAGGACACAGGCCGGGCTGAGGGACCCCCCCTGCCCCCGAGTGCACAAATTTTTGTGCACCGGGCCTCTAGTATATCTAATAAAAGAGAAACATGCAAATTGACCGTACCTCCAGTCCACTCACAAGCCACACCCACCAGCCAATCAGGAGCGAGTATGCAAATAAACCCAACCAAGATGGCGGTGGCCACAGAGTTGGAGTTGACAGGAGGCTTGGGTTGCCCCTGGCTATGGAGGAAGCCAAGCTTCCTGCCTGCCCTGGACGAACGTGGGCTCTGCTCAGGCTACAAAGTTTCAATTATAGAAGATAAATATATCCCAGATACCTACTTCCAGCGGGCATGGCCTCTGCTCAAGGAGGGGCTGGGAGCCTCGGTTGCCAGGGGCAACCCAGGCTTTGAGCCGGACCAAGACTACAAAGTTTCAAGTTAAATAAATCCTAGATACCTGCTTCTAGCCCGGTGGTGTGGCCAGCCTGAAAACGGCCATCAGCCCCTCACCCAGGCTAGCCAGGCACCCCAGCGGGGACCCCCACACTGAAGGGGGTGTGGCCATCCTGCCAACAGCCATCAGCCCCTCACCCAGGCTGGCCACACCCTCAAGGGGTGAGGGTCCCCGCTGGGGTGCTTGGCCAGCCTGAAAACAGCCCTCAGCACCTCACCCAAGCTGGCCACACCCCCAAGTGGGGAATCTCATCCCATGGGGGCGTGGCCGGCCTGAAAACCACCACAGGCCCTTCACCCAGCCCGCCCCACGCCCCAAGGGAACCCCCACCCTGATCCAGGACACCTTTCAGGGCAAACCAGCCGGCCCCCACCTGTGCACCAGGTCTCTATCTATACTAATAAAAGGGTAATATGCTAATTAGACTGGGAGACCTTCCAGGAGTTCTTTGGGGCGTTCTTCTGGACAAAGCCATGGTGGCGGGGCCAAGGTAGAGGCAGTTAGAGGCTAAGAGGGGAGGGCAGTTGTGGGTGATCAGGGTGGTGGGGGATAGCACCTTTGGGGGTAAGCAGACCAGCAGTGGGGCCAGTTGGGGGCAAGCAGGCCATTAGTGGGTGTCAGTTGGAGGTGATCAGGACAGTAGGGGGGGCAATTTGGAGTAAGCAGGCCTGCAGGGGGCAGTTGGGGGAAAGCAGGCCAGTGGAGAGGGAAAGTGGGAGTGAGCAGGTCAGCAGCGGGGGGCAGTTGGCGGTGATCAGGCTGGCGGGAGGGGCATTTGGGGACAAGCAGGCCGGCAGCAGGGGGCAATTGGGGGCAAGCAGGCCAGCAAGCAGAGAGGTTAGGGGCAATCAGGCAGGCAGGTGAGCAGTTAGGAGGCAAGAGTCCTGGATTGCGAGAGGGATGTCCAACTGCCAGTTTAGGCCTGATCCCTATTAACCGGCAGTAGGACATCCTTCAAGGGGTCCCAGATTAGAGAGTGTGCAGGCCGGGCTGAGGACACCCCCTCCCCTGTGCATGAATTTCGTGCACTGAGCCACTAGTCCTATCTAATAATAGACAAACATGGTAATTAACCATACCTCCGACATGCTTCCCATTGGCTAATCAGGGCGATATGCAAATTAACTGCCAACCAAGATGGCAGCCGGCAGCCAGGCAGCTGAAGCGAACAGGAGGCATGCTTGCTCCAGTGAAGGAGGAAGCCAAGGTTCCCTGCCTGCCGCTGCCGGCCTCTGAGTTTGCACTCTAAGAAACAATGTTGCAATTATAGAAGGTAAATAAACCCCATGCTTTCAGCCAGCCGGCTGAGCTGGAGTTGCAACAGTGTTTCAATTATAGAACCCAAACAAACCCAGATCAGAAGCCGAGGTCTCAGAGCTGGAGCCGAGCCTCAGAGCTAAAGCTGGCTCTCAGCTCCAGTGACAGCCATAGAAGGTAAATAAATCCCAGAACAAAACAAAAAAAAGAAAGAAAAAAAGGAGAGGTTGGGAGCTTCAGTCACCCGCCAGCCTGAAAACCGCCCTCAGCACCTCACCCAGACTGGTCAGGCACCCCAGTGGGGACCCCCACCCTGAAGGGGTGTGACCAGCTGCAAACAGCCATCATCCCCTCATCTAGGCTGGCCAGATACCCAAGCGGGACCCCCGCCCAGATCCAGGACACCCTTCAGGGCAAACCAGCCGGCCCCCACCCGTGCACCAGGCCTCTATCCTGTACAGTAAAAGGATAATATGCCTCCCGGCACCGGGATCAGCGGAGCCGCGAGGACTCACGCCCCAGGATCAGCGAAACAGCAAGGCCTCCCAGCACTGGGATCAGCGGAGCAGCGAGGCCTCACTGCCCCTGTGTCAAGTGGAGCCGTGAGGCCTCCCAGCACCGGGATCAGCGGAGCAGTGAGGCCTCACTGCCCCAGTGTCAAACGGAGCCGCAAGGCCTCCTAGCACCGGGATCAGCGGAGCAGCCAGGCCTCCTAGCACCAGGATCAGCTGAGCAGTGAGGCCTCACTGCCCTGGTGTCAAGCGGAGCCGTGAGGCCTCCCAGCACTGGGATCAGTGGAGCCTCGAGGCCTCCTGGCCCCCGGAACAGCGTGACAGGGGACAGCGCCCAAACCCCCTGATCGCCCTGTGGCTCTGTGTGTGACAGGGGGTGGGGCCACAACCTCCCTATCCACTCTGCTCTGCTCGTGACAGGGGAAGGCGCCCCAACCTCCTGATCGGCCCTGTTCTGTGCCTGATGAGGGGGCGGCTCCCCAACCCCCTGATCGGCCCTGCTCTGTGTGTGACAGGGTGCGGCGCCCCAACCCCCCATGGGCCCTGCTCTGTGTGTGACGGGGTGGAGCTACAACCTCCCCATGGGCCCTGCCCTGAGTGTGACAGGGGGGAGTGCCCCAAACCCCTGATCGGCCCTGCTCTGTGGGTGACAGGGGGCGGCGCCCCAACCCCCTGATCCGCTCTGCTCTGTGTGTGACGGGGCGGTGCCCCAACTCCCCTATGGGCACTACTCTGTGTGTGACAGGGGGGAGCTCCCCAACCCCCGATCGGCCCTGCTCTGTGTCTGACAGGGGTGGCGCCGCAACCTCCCCATCGACCCTGCCTTGAGTGTGACAGGGGGCGGCGCCCCAACCCCCCAATCGGCTCTACCCTGATCATGACTGGGGGTGGCATTGCAACCTCCCGATCCGCCCTGCTGTGTGCATGACAGGGGGCGGCGCCCCAACTCCCCAGTCGGCTCTGCTCTGAGCCCGACCAGGGGCTGCACCTAGGGATTTGGCCTGCCCTCTGACACCCTGGAGTGGGCCTAAGCCAGCAGGTTGTTATCTCCTGAGGGGTCCCAGACTGTGAGAGGGCACAAGTGGGGCTGAGGGACACCACCCCCCCCCACTCCAGTGCAGAAATTTTTGTGCACCGGGCCTCTAGTATATTATAGTTATATATAACCATGATATGTATATGTGTGTGTGTGTGTGTGTGTGTGTGTGTGTGTGTGTGTATATAACTACTAGTGGCCCGGTGCACGAAATTCCTACACCGGGAGGGCGGGGGGAACCTCAGCACAACCCGTGCCCTCTCACAGTCTGGGATCCCTCGCTCCTCACTAACCCCTGCCACTGCACTCACCAGCCGTAAACCCGGCTTCTGGTTGAGTGGCACTCCCACTTTGGGAGCGCATTGACTACCAGGGGGCTGCTCCTGCATTGAGCATCTGCCCCCTGGTGGTCAATGCGCGTCATAGTGTCTGGATGTTCCGCCGTTTGGTTAATTTCCATATTAGGGTTTTATTATATAGATTATATTATAGTGCTAGGTGGGTATTAAACTTATTGGGAGGTTCTCTAGAAATTTATATAAATGTCTAAGCACTCTTCTGTATACTTGAAAGTTAATATTAAATGTCAACTGTAATTAAAAAAGTAAAAAAAAAACTTTTTTAAATTAAAAGTATTAAATTAAAGTAGTATCTGACATGTTTTTCTCAAAACGGTTTTTATCACATTTATATGTTTATATTCAGAAAGAAATGAGGTTTCTACTATAATGTACTGTAAAGCATATGTAGATATAATCCACCTAGCAGTTAGATTACATTGAAAACGTTGCAAATACAATACAAAGGCATATGGTTAATTTTAAATTCAGTTAGTATGTGCATTTCATGTCATATATATAAAATGCACCACATTAAGTCTCTTTTATCAAGTACTGATCAGTTAAGTTCTTTAACCAGGAACTTTACCTAAAGCATAAAGATTCCAAATACACTCAATTCAAATTGTTATCTGTGAATAACAACTGAGCAGACAATCAAGACAGAAATCAGTTATATCTGAATCAAATTTGGTACTTACTTTGATTTTGTGTGGGTTTTGACTGATTGGAAAGGTCTTCATTTTCTATATAAAGATTAATAAGAAGTTAATTTCAAGTTTTAGTCAAATTATTTAACACCATAATAATAATCAACGACTGGAGCCAAATAAAGAAAAACCCAGGATATGTATGTATACTATGTTAGGAAAAATCACTTATGCCAAGAGGGGTGGGAGGAGGACATAAGTAAGAATTGTAGTAGTAACTATATATAGAATGATAGGATCATGAGTAATTGATCCTATACCACCTGCCACATTTCTCCTTCACTTGCAAGGTTTTGAATAAACATTGTCATATTATAGATATACTAGAGGCCTGGTGCACAGATTCGTGCACCAGTGGTGTCCCTAGGCCTGGCCTGTGGGATCAGGCTGAAACCAGCTCTTCGACATCCCCCGAGGGGTCCCAGATTGCGAGAGGATGCAAGCCAGGCCGAGGGACCCCACCGGTGCACGATCGGGGCCGGGTAGGGACACGGGAGGTTGGCCAGCCAGGGAAGGACTGCGGGAGGGCTCCAGAGCATGTCTGGCCCATCTTGCTCAGTCCTGATCAGCCAGACCTCAGCAGCAAGCTAACCTACCGGTTGGAGCGTCTGCCCCTGGTGGTCAATGCATGTCATAGCAAGCAGTTGAGCAGTCTTAGCTTATCATAAGCATATTACGCCTTGATTGGTTGAACGGCCGACCGGCCGACAGGACACTTAGCATATTAGGCTGTTATTATGTAGGATTTAAGAACACTTTTTGGAAAGATGATTGCCTACATATACCATCCAAATAAAGTGTAGCCTGTATATGGAATGCAGAGAGGAACCACTGTCACTGGCTAAGCTAACAGACAGTCACTTCTGGGCATCACTCCCTACAACAGTGAAATGACTCAGAAGTGGGAGGCAGATGTTGCGTGCAGAATCCACTGCCATCTGAGGAACCAATTTTGCAAGCCATGTGGATCATCCAAGCAAACAGAAAGAAAGTGGCCCTGCCCACTTGCACTCAGTTATGAAAAAGGCTCTATGCTAGGAGCTGTCAAGGAAAACTACACTACTTTGGACTGAGTTGAAGCCCATGAGACTGATAACCTAAACCACACTCCTTTGCATCCACCATGGGAAACGTCCTAACCAAACCATTGGTCAAAGATACAACAGAAAAAAAAGTTACCTCTCATTGCTAGACAATAACTGTCCAAGAAACCAATAATTCGATATGCATAAGGTCCAAAGGGAACACACAAGCCCTGACATGGTCAGCCAAAAAAGAACATATCTTGTTTAAGGAACTTAATACAAACAAAAAACTAGGATAGATGGTGTCTACCAATTGGAGATGCAATAAAAGAATGAAAAAGAACTTTAAAAACCTATAATACAAGTTAAGAATACATATAAACTATAAGATATAAGCAGAGAAGGTAAATACTTTTAGATATAAAAATGTGACTCCAAATTACTAACTACAAAGAATGATGAAGATTAGAAATAATATTACCAACAGCTAAATACTTACATAAAAATAAGAAAAGAAATCTCATTGAAAATGGCAATACTACAAAAAATACTACAAAAAACAAGTATCATACATGGATAAGTGACTTAGACAAATACAGTACAAAATAAGCGTATCAGAGAAAAAAGAACAGGTGAAAAACCAATAACTAAAGGGACAATTAAAACAAAGTTTTCTAAACATTAAAGACTTAGAGTTTTCCTATCCAAAGGGATTACAGAGTTATAGGAAGAATTATAAGATACACATCTAGACCTGTTGGTGAAATATCTGAACTCCAAGATTAAAGGCATTTCTGAACTCTAAAAATAAGGAACTTTTATTTGTAAGATTTCAGAAAGAAACTAAGGTTCTGATAAAGAAAAGAGAATGAACTGGAATTGGTTTCTCACCTATAGCACTATATGTTCCCTTTTTGAGGAAAGCACTTGAGACATTTTCTATTAAAAGAAAATTGGAGTGAACATATCAGGAAAGGAAATCAAAGAACAGAAGAAACAGTAAGAAGTCATAAATTCAGAGGCACAGAAGTAAAAATGCATAGAATTCCAACAAAAGATAAATGGATAAAAAAGATGGAATATGAAGTCAAATAGTGGAGTATAAGACAGCTTTTTTTTTTAGTTTTTGTATACTGACAACCATGAAGAATATGAAGGTGATCACTACCAATGAAAGATAAAATTTTAAAGATAAAAAACTGTTAACTACACATGTATTAGTAAAACCCTAACCCTAATATGCAAATAGAACAACAGAACGGCAGAACAACAGAACAGCTGAACAATCGGTTGCTATGACATGCGCTGACCACCATGGGGTATGCGCAGAACATGGCGGGTGTCAGCAGCAGGAGTCAGAGTGCAGAACATGGAGGGCATCAGCCATGGTGGGATGGTGGAACAGGTGACTGGGGGCGCCAGACCAAGGCTGGGTGCTAGTCGCTGTCATTGGGGTGAGCCTCTGGTGGTTACTGAAAATTCTTTGCTCCCACGCACCGTGGTTGCACTGGGAGCTTGCACCTCCTGCCAGCACCGGCAACAGCACCGGCCCCGGCCCCACTCGCACTCTCAGCCGGCGCCAGAGCCAACGCTCACAATTGCTTGGCACCGTCAGCGGGTGCAAGTGGTGGCTGCCGGCCCTGATCACCCCTCAGTGCTTCTTCACCTCCCCCTGCTCCTGCTCCTGAGGGGCAATCGGGGCTGGCAGCAGCCTCTTGCACCCTCTGCCAGCGAATGCCCCGCTTGCACCCGCAGCCGGCTCCAGAGCCGCCGCTTGCATCGGCTGCCAACGCCCGGCACCAGTCCTGATCACTCGGCACCATCAGCAGGTGCGAGAGGCAGCTGCCAGCTCCGATCACCCCTGAGGGCTTCTTCACCTCCCCCAGCTCTTGAGGGGCGATGGGAGCAGCAGCTGCAACTCACACCTGCTGACGACACCGGCCTTGCTCGCACCCGCTGCTGGCGCCAGCCCCAATCAGTGCGTGGGAGTGGTAGTGGCTGGAGCGGGGCTACCTGCAGACAGGGGACCAGGAGCCACAGCGGTAGAGGCTGGGGGGGGGGGGGGGCGCGGAGGATGGGCCAAGACCCTGTCCCTTTGCCCACCACAGCCTCGCAGCCCACAGTTCCTTTCCAAGTGCACAAATTTGTGCACTGAGCCCCTAGTACAAGAATAATAATGAATACAAATAAAATAGAAGGAAAAAATAAGAAAATAAGAAAAAATATTTAACTTTACAGTTGTTTGAAATTCCTAAGTCTCTTCATTGACTTAATAAACAGAAACCATTTATATGTAATTTGTAAACCAAGTAACCTACCAAATAAACAAATCCCCAAAATATTTCACAATAAATATACAAGCAAAACATTTTTGTAAAATAAAAACAAAAATGAGATAATTTTGTGAAGAAGAACCAAGATGGCGGCATAGGTTAACGCCGGAGTTTGCTGCTTTGAACAACTACTTCAAAAGTGAAACCAAAAAACAGAAGGGACATCACCCAGAACCACAGGAACGCTGGCTGAGTGGAAGTCCTACAACTAGGAGGAAAGAGAAACGCATACGGACACTCAGAGGAGGCACAGTGCTGAAGTCAAATTCTGAGATGCGGAGTGCGCGGAGCGGGCTGGCGGCAGAGGGTGCTGTTGGCGTTTTCAATCGGGAGGGAGTCGCAGACTCTGAGCTCCAGATCCGGGCGAGTCTTTAGCGACCCAGACTCAAACGGGAGAAGCGGGACTGTCTGGCTTTGGTCAGAGCGAGTGCAGCTTTCTCTCCGAGCTTTGCAGCGGGTGCTGGGACTCAGAGAGGCAGAGCCCCTGGGGACAGGACTGAGAGCCGCCATAACTGCTCTCTCCGGCCCACCCTGTTGATCCTGTGCGACCCGCCCCGCCCAAGCCCTGCACACAGGCATTTGCCGGATAGCCTCAGGCAAAGGCTAGATTAGCACCTCCCCAGAGGACAGAAGTTCTCTCACTGCTGACACAGCTGATTCTCATAGCCACTTGGCCTGGAGGTCAACCCTCCCTGGAATTAGCTACAACAATCAAGATTTAACTATAAGACTGCGAACAAAGACCACTAGGGGGTGCACCAAGAAAGCATAACAAAATGCTGAGACAAAGAAACAGGACAAAATTGTCAATGGAAGATATAGAGTTCAGAACCACACTTTTAAGGTCTCTCAAGAACTGTTTAGAAGCCGCCGATAAACTTAATGAGATCTACAAGAAAACTAATGAGACCCTCGATCTTATATTGGGGAACCAACTAGAAATTAAGCATACACGGACTGAAATAACGAATATTATACAGACTCCCGACAGCAGACCAGAGGAGCGCAAGAATCAAGTCAATGATTTGAAATGCGAGGAAGCAAAAAACACCCAACTGGAAAAGCAAAGTGAAAAAAGAATCCAAAAATGCGAGGATAGTGTAAGGAGCCTCTGGGACAGCTTCAAGCGCACCAACATCAGAATTATAGGGGTGCCAGAAGATGAGAGAGAGCAAGATATTGAAAACCTATTTGAAGAAATAATGACAGAAAACTTCCCCCACCTGGTGAAAGAAATGGACTTACAGGTCCAAGAAGCGCGGAGAACCCCAAACAAAAGGAATCCAAAGAGGACCACACCAAGACACATCATCATTAAAATGCCAAGAGCAAAAGATAAAGAGAGAATCTTAAAAACAGCAAGAGAAAGAAACTCAGTTACCTATAAGGGAATACCCATACGACTGTCAGCTGATTTCTCAACAGAAACTTTTCAGGCCAGAAGGGAGTGGCAAGAAATATTCAAAGTGATGAATACCAAGAACCTACAACCAAGATTACTTTATCCAGCAAAGCTATCATTCAGAATTGAAGGTCAGATAAAGAGCTTCACAGATAAGGAAAAGCTAAAGGAGTTCATCACCACCAAACCAGGATTATATGAAATGCTGAAAGGTATCCTTTAAGAAGAGGAAGAGGAAGAAAAAGGTAAAGATACAAATTATGAACAACAAATATG